GATGTTGATGGTGATAGGGTCAAACAAGAACCCAGGTTTGAGGAGGAAGTCATTATTGGGTCCTGGTTCTGGGCAGAAAAAGAGGCCAGTTTGGAGGGTGGAGCTTCAGCAATCTGTGAATCTGAGCCAGGAACTGAGGAGGGGGCCATTGGCGGATCCACGTACTGGGCTGAGGAAAAGTCCAGTTTGGGGGCTGTGGCCAGAGAAGAGGCCAAGCCAGAGTCTGAAGAAGAGGCCATATTTGGGTCTTGGTTCTGGGACAGAGATGAGGCCTGCTTTGACCTAAATCCCTGTCCTGTGTACAAGGTCAGTGATAGGTTCAGAGATGCAGCTGAGGAACTTAATGCATCCTCCAGGCCCCAAACCTGGGAAGAGGTCACTGTTGAATTCAAACCTGGTCTTTTTCATGGGGTTGGCTTCCGATCCACAAGCCCCTTTAGAATTCCTGAAGAGGCTTCTGAAATACTTGAGGCAAAGCCCAAGAACATGGAACTTAGCCCAGAAGGGGAAGAGCAGGAATCTTTGCTTCAGCCTAATCAGCCTGATCCTGAGTTCACATTTCAGTATGATCCTTCCTACCGGTCAGTCCGGGAAATTCGAGAGCATCTTAGGGCCAGGGAGAGTGCAGAGTCTGAGGGTTGGTCCTGCAGCTGCATACAATGTGAGCTGAAAATTGGTTCTGAAGAGTTTGAAGAACTCCTTTTATTAATGGACAAAATTAGGGATCCTTTTATTCATGAAATATCTAAAATTGCAATGGGTATGAGAAGTGCTTCTCAGTTTACCCGAGATTTCATTAGAGATTCAGGTGTTGTCTCACTTATTGAAACCTTGCTTAATTATCCATCCTCTAGAGTTAGGACAAGTTTTTTGGAAAATATGATTCACATGGCTCCACCTTATCCAAATCTAAACATGATTGAGACATTCATATGTCAAGTGTGTGAAGAAACCCTTGCACATAGTGTGGATTCCCTTGAGCAGCTAACTGGAATAAGGATGCTTAGACACCTCACTATGACTATTGACTATCACACACTGATTGCCAACTATATGTCCGGGTTTCTCTCCTTATTAACCACAGCCAATGCGAGAACAAAGTTTCATGTTCTGAAAATGCTGTTGAATTTGTCTGAAAATCCTGCTGTGGCAAAAAAACTATTCAGTGCCAAAGCTCTTTCAATATTTGTGGGTCTCTTTAACATAGAAGAGACAAATGATAATATTCAAATTGTTATTAAAATGTTTCAGAATATCAGTAACATTATAAAAAGTGGAAAGATGTCCTTAATTGACGATGATTTCAGTCTTGAGCCGCTTATTTCTGCATTTCGTGAATTTGAGGAGTTAGCTAAGCAACTACAAGCCCAAATAGACAATCAAAATGATCCTGAGGTGGGACAACAAAGTTAATATGATTAACCACCCGCCACTGATCAGCCTTATGTTCCCAAAGAGCCCTGAGTAGTGCTTTGGTGTTCACAGTCTGTTTTTTTGTTGTAACTTACATTTTTTAATGCTTATGTTAACTTCGTCAAACTCTTGTTTTGAGCTGGATCATTTTGTGGATGCCAAATGAATATCAAAACTGAAAACACATTTGTTGATATTTTTGTCTTGCTGTCCAGATTGCGATATTTTTCAGTATTAAGCTTTCAGTGAACTGTGTCACCTAAGTAAGCTACCCTGCTATTTGTTGTTTAAATATATGGTTCTCTATTTGAGTCTGTGTTTTCAATAAAGTTCTATGTTTAAATTGGCATAAGTGACCCTTCTTCAGTTTAAGAACCATGTATAGATACATCATGTGCACTTACAAACATAGGTAATTATTAGTATGAGAAACATGCGCTCATTAGAAAATTCTGTTCGTGAGCTAAGAAGGGAGAGATTATTGTGGGCTCTGATACTTGAGGAATGCTTCCGAGAAGAGGGACCCATTTAAATTGGTCAAGATAGAACAAATTTGTCAGGATAGGAGAGCAAGACAAGTTGCCGACCTGCTTGCCCAATTATGAGCCTTCCCAACAAGCAACCTAAAATTAATACTTCTTATAGGACCCATTTAAATTACCATCTTAGCCCTGGGTAAGATAACACAAATCATTAGATTGCTCTTGGAAGTGGGCAGTGGTGGTTTGAAGAAAAGTGTGTAATTGAATAATCTGTTTTGGTAGCATGGATGAACCCAGTCTGCCTAAAACAAGTAAAAGGAGTTTGATGAGAAATGCAGTTAGAAAGTTGAGAAGAGGCCAGTTTGGGGAACAGAGTAAGCCAAATCTGCATATTTAACAATTCAAAGTAAGGTGTTACTTCAATGCTACCTAAACGCTGAAAGAGTAGGATAGCACAATTAAATGGAATGGGGAATATTATTTCCTTTATATGCCTAGACAAAGGAAAGTGTTAAGGAAATACCATGCAGCCGTTGAAATGATTATGTATGGATAGGTTTATTGACACAAAAGGACATTATTTTATATTTGCTGAAACAGAACGTGACATGTATGGAAAATTAGATTCCATTTTTAAAACATCTGTAAATGTACACAATTCCTATGCAATTTCAATATGAATTTCTAAACATTTCACAGTCTGGAATAAAATATATACCATGTTAAAAAAAATGCTTAGAGACAGGCGTTGGGGAGATAACAAACATTAATAAGAAATTAAAATATTAATATGCTTACATTTTGTGTCTTGAGTTATAGATGAGCATGCTGGAAAGGACAATTATATAAATGAATAAACTATAAGTGTTAAAATATGGTTAGAGATAATATCATTTAGCAAAGTTGTAAATGAATGAGCTATCAGAAAGACTAGCTTTTCATAAAATGTTTTAAAGACAAAAATTAAAATTGGCCGGGAACAGTGGCTCATACCTGTAATCCCAGCCCTTTGGGAGGCCGAAACGGGAGGACTGCTTGAGCTCAGGAATTCAAGGCCAGCCTGGGCAACATATTGACGCCTTGTCTCTACTAAAAATACAAAAAGTTAGCCCAGCATGGCAGCACGTGCTTGTAGTCCTAGCTACTCAGGAGGCTGAGGTGGGAGAATCACTTGAGCCTAAGAAGTTGAGGCTGCAGTGAGTCATGATCACACCACTGCACTCCAGCATGGGTGATGTGAGTGAGACCTTGTCTAAAAAAAAATAAAGTAAAATTACCAAGGGTGGGCCAGGCACGGTGGCTCACGCCTGTAATCCCAGCACTTTGGGAGGCTGAGGTGGGCAGATCACTTGAGGTCAGGAGTTCGAGACCAGCCTGGGCAACATAGCGAAATGCTGTCTCTACTAAAAATACAAAAACTTAGCTGAGCATGGTGGTGTGCACCTGTAATCCCAGCTACTGGGGAGGCTGAGGCAGGAGAGTCGCTTGAGCCTGGGGGGCAGAGGTTGCAGTGAGCTGAGGTCGCACCACTGCACTCCAGCCTGGGTGAGAGAGCAGAACTCCGTCTCAAAAAAAAAAAAAAAAAAAAAAAATTACCAAGGGTGTTAAGTTTAATATTAGTCTGTTCATGGTACAAAAATGGCACCTTTTTCACATAATTATTACCGTAAAAAACATAACATTTCCTTTTGAGGTGACAACAGAGTTCTGGAGCTAGACAGTGGTGATGGTTGTACAACATTGATAATGTACTGGGTTGTATACTTTAAAATGCTTTAAATGGCAAATTTTATGTTATGTGTATTTTGCCACGATAATTTAAAAAATGACCACACCATACCTTCAGTCAGGAGAATTGGAAAAGACAGGGATATATGTTGGTTTGGAGAGGAAATTCAGACTTAGGAGAAATATCAAATGTTTTATTTTTAGACATGACAAAATTTTTTTTTTGTCTCAGAATGCTCTAAATTTTCAAAGGTAAAATTACAACTCATGTAAATGTAAAAAGAATATGTGAAAGATTTTTCAACACAATTAATGAACAACTGCTAGGATTAAGAAAACAGTTGAAGGGTATATGTGTATATACAATATACACAATATGAAGATATAAACAAAACATTGAATTTTATAAACACATAGGAAATTAATAAATGTTAGAATAACACTGCCAGGTTAAATGCAAAACTAGTTAATATCTTACAGGGCAATAAATTGTAATATTTAAGGTTATCTATTGCACTGGACATAAATCATTTACATATCTATTGAATAAAATATATACATGTTAACATCAGCGTCTACAGAGTTGAAAAATAGGTAAATCAATAGACATCCCAGCACTGCCCTGAAATGACATCCAGTAACTAATGGTGACTTTACCTAGTTTTGTATAATTTTTCTGACAGTGCAACATGCTTTTTTTTCCCCACCTGATCCTAGTTTGGTAAGGTACATGGAAGTGACAGTTTTGCCTCCCTTTGCAAACCATAAGTTTTAACAGGGATCATCCTAGTGGTGCAAATTGGAGTTTGAATTTTGTTTTGCTTACTACCATGTTTCAAGACAGATCCTGTGTGTGTTTTAGTATGTCGCTTGAGTCGTATACAATATATTAAAAATCACTTCATTTCCCAAATCCTCATCGAATGTTCCTCGCCAGCCAAGTGGTCCTCCAGAGCAAAGCCCAGCCTTCCTTCCAGCTGTCTGGCCAAGGAGCTTCAGTGTCTTCTAGTAAGCACCCCAGAGGCAGAAGACTGTCATCGGTGGTAGGGGACTGCGGCGAACAAGCTGACTGCGCAGTCACGTGGGGCTGACGGTGGGTCATGTGACCAGGCTCTGGATTTGGCCTGCGGAGAGGAGAGTTTTCTTACACCCAGAAAGGACCTGAAAGGCGGAAGACACCTGTGCTCCGCAGAGCAGAACGTGGGGGGAACGGCGGCATATTAAGGTAGGTAGGTGTCTTTCCATGCTGCATCAGCCTGAAAACTAATTTCTCAGGCGACCGGAACTACAGCATTTGTTGGTAAAGGAAACAATCCCTCAGCCAACCGCGAGCGTCTTAGCTGATCTGTCTTTTGTTCAGGAGCTCAAGAAGCAAAGAGTCTACCTGCCTGACTCATTCATGGAAAGGAGCAGCGGTTGCTATTGGAGGAAGTGGGTGCAAGGACGGCAGATGCCATCCCTAAGAGGTGGTGACTGAGACTAGATGCGGGTGCAGGTAATGCCTCGGATCCGCCTGCTCCCTCCTGCCTTTTGAACACCCTTATCCCCTCATCCCAAGGCTCCCAGCCCAGTGAGTGCCCTGTGTTTGTATGTGTGGGTGGGGGAGGTGGGCATATGGATGGAGTTGGCTTCAGGGAAGCCCAGAGCGGGGAAATGGTGAAGTGACAATTCGTGAACATCTGTGGTGCTGGATCAGGAAAGGCAGGGGTGGGGATGGGAACCATGGGCTACGCATCCGCACTCATTCTACTCTGTGTCTTCTTACTGGCAGTATTCAGGCAGTGGGGATGGCTGATACCAGCTCAAAACTGGCAGAGGGTGGAGGAGGGCAGGAGAAGGGAACACATACATCTGCCTTTTACTGCAAGGCTCCAGCTGACTGGGGATGCAAGAGAGGAATGAACCTCAATCCTGGCAGTTCTAGGAAAAGGAGGAGAAGACATAGACTCGAGGAGAGGAAACCTAGATGCTGTGGGCCCTTCACCTAGGATTTCTCATTAGGATACTCCAAGCTTCTCGACCCCCAACGGGATTCCTGGATCTCAGCCCCATGCAGCAGAATCTCATTCCCATTGAGGGACACAAAGTGGGTTGCTGCTCCATGTGACACTCTCTCTCCCTGCTGTGTTGGGCCTCAGAGGAGGGTCTTTCTGGGGAGCACCTACAGAAACTGCTTCATGGATAGTCTCCTAAGTTCCCCTCTGCATACCCTTTGCCCTCTTGTGTTGTGATCTCTGCTCATTCCTTAGGATGTGTTTCTTTGGTCCCATCACAGGTAGCAACCCCATGGTAAGTCCTTGTCCTCTTTCACATTGAGTATCCTCCTTTCCTCCTGCCCCATGCATCCACTGGGTACCAAGTGAAAGAAAGTGGTTCCTCTACCCACAATACTTCTGGCACAGAATATGTGGATTTTTCACACCAAGCAATTCTCCTATTCTTTGAGGACACCAGTTAGGTATCCTACAGTTTAATTCAATTCTGACACTACCCAGAGTTAGTGCAGACTTCTCTGGTTAAGGGCTCATTCCCATAAGACTGCCCTCCCCCACTTCAGACAGCAATCACAAGTAATGGATCTCCACGTTACCCACACTTCTGTCTGACTTAGCTCCCAGTTGGGAGTTCCCACAACCCCCTCCTCAGGTTCAATAATTTGCTATGAGGGCCCACTGAACTCAGGGAAACTCTACTTCCTATTACTGGTTCATAAAGAATATAAATTAAAAGTCAGATGAAGAGGTACATTATGGCAAGGTCCAGAAGGGTCCCAAATGCTGAAGCTGCCATCCATGTGGATTTGGTGTACACCACCTTCCCAGAATACGAATGAGTTCACCAACCTGGAACCTCTCAGACATTTGGGGTTTTTATAGAGGTTTCATTACATAGGCGTGATTGATGAAATCATTGACCATTGGTGATTAGCTCAATCTTCAGCCCCTCTCTTCTCCTTGGAGGTCAAGGGGTGAGGCTGAGTTCCAACCCTCTAATCATGCCTTGATCTTTCTGGTGACCATCCATATCTTGAAGCTATCTAGTAGCCCTCACCCACCAGTCATCTCAGAGCATAAAAAAAGACACCTATCACTCCAGAGATTCCAAGGGTCTTATTGTCAAGAGCTTGAGACTAAAGCCACATGTAACAAAAGATGCTTCTGTTATCCCTATCAGGAAATAGCAAGGGTTCTAGGAGATCTATGCCAGGAATATGGGACAAAAATTTATGGTTACCAAAGGCTGGAAAGGGTATTGGGGATGGGGTATAAAAAGGAGTTGGTTAATGGGTACAAAAACACAGTTAGAAGGAATATGATCTAGTATTCAGTAGCTCAATAGGGTGCCTATAGTTAACAATAATTATTATGTATTTCAGTGTAATTAGGAGAATAGATTTGGAGTGTTCTCAGTGCAACAAAATGATAAATATTTGAGGTGATGTGTATCTCAATTACATTACACATTGTATGTTTATATCAAAATATAATTTATACCCAATAAATATGTACAAATATTACATATCCATATAAATTAAAAATTTTTTAAAATTTAAAAAATAACTCATTTCAAATTTCAATCAAAATAAAAAAGATCAAATGCTTATTTCTTCATATATCACAATACATACAAAGTCAGTGTAAGAAAGTGTTGCTAGGAAGAAATTACTTTTTCTAATCCCACTCCTATTCTTATGTTTATACCAAGTTTATAGAGTTGAAACTATGTTGTTCTACTACTTTAGGCCCTCCTGTTTAGACTTAAAATCTAGGATAGATACAAGGCATATGGGGCAAAATCATAGGTAGGGATTAGTCCCCTACATCCTCATCTCCTACCCTCTCCTATTATTTTCTTCTCTTTACTCTCCAGAATTCTGATAATATAAATACTGGGGCCAGCATTCAGCTTATGGTTTTCTACTCAAGCTGTCTTGTCTCTTGTCTCTGTGTTTTTTCGAGTATGTCAACAGAGAAGACTTCAAGTATGGTATAGTATAATAGAGAATATAGCTGATCTTTAGCCCTAGTTTCTGACACAGAGCTTCAAAAAACCTTGGGATTTCCTGTGTGACAGGAGTATCTTTGTTATGCTAACGAAGTGACTTATGGTGGGCCCCTAGATAGCTTCAGGATGGGGACTGGTCACCAGAAGGACCAACCATATGATTAAAGGGTTGGAACTTTGGGCCAGCTCAACCTTCAGGGAAGGTAGTGGGGCTAGGTATTAAGTTCAGTCACATAACCAATGGTTTAATCAATCTTGCCTGTGTAATAAAACCTCAGTGAAAACTTTGAACTTCAGGGCTAAGTGGAGCTTCTTGGTTAGTGAACATATTGTTCTCTAGGTAGGGTGATATTTCCTGACTCCACAAGGAGAGGGTATGGAAGCTTTGTGTCCAGGATCCTTTCAGACCTTGTCCTGTGTGTATCCTTAAATGAAACTGTAATAATAAGAATAGCACTTTTCGTGAGTTCTGTGAGTTGTTTCAGTTAATTATGAAACCTCATAATGTCATGGGAACTCCTGAATTTATAAGTGGTCAGTCAGAAGGATAGGTGGCTTCCTGAGAATTGGGGCTGGTATCTGATCTAAAGCGGGGGCAGCATTGTTGGGGATTGTGCCCTTAAACCTGTAGAGTCCAATGCTAACTCCAAGTAGGTGGTTTCAAATATTTGATGTCAGAACAACAGTGTAATTTTCCCTAGTTTTGGCAGCCACACCTAGATTAATATATGTAAAGCTTACCTTTGCTGTATATTCTGCATCAACAAGTTAAAATAAAGGAGGCAGACCCAACAGCGTATTATGGGTGAAAAAAGCAGTCTGTTTTTGTGACATGTACCTGTAATTTAGATAATTTTTTAAATTATCTATGTATCTATTTATCTATATCTATCTATGTGTCTGTCTGTCTAATCTACCTATACATCTATCCTGTCATCTTTTTTTTTCTTATCACAGCTCCCTTAGCCTAGAATTCCTGTTGTGGGTATTGCATTTATATTTGGAAAACTTCAAATTGTGACCTGATTAAATACTTCTGTGCCCCAAATGTACTCCAAAGCAGATACTTAAACAGTTTATGCCTGTAGAATTTTTCCATCTCAGCCAAAGAGCAGGGTGACTGGGGTGTGTGTGTGTGTGTGTGTGTGTGTGTGTGTGTGTGTGTATGTGTGTGTATCCAAGCAAGATGATGATTGCCTTTGTTCTGACTTGTAGAGGGTAGAATCCTTCCTCAATTCTTTTTCTGGGGTGTAATTGAAATAAAAAATTCATCATTCACTCAGGCCTCTTGTTCCTTCTCCCTTTTTTGATAAATATTATGGGCTACTTTATGTAATAGAGGCTGCTTCAGATGTCACCTGGCCTAAAATGTTGTGTGGGGATAATATCAGAGTGAATTTTTCATCTGTCTAGTCTGGACTTTTAGCAGCCACTAATTATCAACTCTGCCCCCCAATTTCAAAAGAGCAACCTTCAATGGGATGTAATCTATAAACTACCACCAGATTTTCTATCAAGGCTTTCAAGACCTTGCACCCTTTAATACAAGTCTGCCTTTCTATCTCCATCTCTCATAACATTCTTCCAAGTGAAGGCCAGGACTAGAATGAAATAAAGAAAGAAGCTCTCACTCTCAAGTGCCTCACACTACTCCAGGCCTTGCCCCACTTTGCCTGCAGTCAAGCCACACTGGAAAATCTGTTGTTTTCCCAACTGTACTATGTGCTTTACTACTTGTATGCCTTTCCACATGCTGTCCCTTCAATCTTCAATATTCTTACCCTTTTTCTCTCTACGGCAAACATCCTTTTGGGCTCAGTTCAAATGCCAGGGCCTTTTTGAAGTCTGATACCTCCTCACCCTTATTCCTTGCACCTTGGTAGGAAGTAATTCCTCCATCATTTGTACTTACGCAATATTTGCCACTTGTTTCTTTTCTTTTCCTTTTTTTTTTTTTTTTTTTGGTTTTTTTTTTTTTTTTTTTTGAGATGGAGTCTCACCTTGTCACCCAGGTTGGAGTGCAGTGGCACGATCTCGGCTCACTGCAACCTCCGTCTCCCAAGCTCAAGTGATCCTCCTGCCTCAGCCCCCCTGGTAGCTGGGATTACAGGCACACACCACCATGCCCAGCTAATTTTTGTATTTTTAGCGGACACAGGGTTTCGCCATGTTGGCCAGGCTGGTCTCAAACTCCTGACCTCAGGTGATCCACCCGCCTTGGCCACCCAAAGTGCTGGGATTACAGACATGAGCCACTGCGCCCAGCCCATTTGTTTCTTTATACCGTGCATCAGAGTCTTTTTTTTTTTTTTTTTAATGAATAACGTAGAACTAGTGTTGAGGAACAGGTAGCATAGAGAAAGAAGCTTGGACTCTGGAAGTGTGATTCAAACCCCAGTCTGTCTGACTGCAAAGCCTGAATGTTTACTACTTAATATTGTGTTAATATTAAGATTTGTTGGGTGATTTCTATGTGCCAGGGTACTCTAC